GACATAATTTAGGGAAAAATTAAGAGTGAAGGGAAATGACACACATGTTTAATGTGGGTGAAAACAAGAGAAAAACAAGGGAAAAAGCCGGTAAGTTGATTTGCCACACAACAAATGTACAGGTGTGTGATAGGGGAGGAGCTCTAAGACGGGAGACCAGAGGAGGGGTGAGTAAATGTGAGTACAGAAGAGAGAAAAAAAAAGGTGAGAGGAGAAAATAAATGGAAGAGACAAGAGGTCAGAGGAAACGAGACAGGGGAGGAAAGAAGGAGAGAATGAAAACAGGAGACTAGAGGATGAGAAACAAGAGATGGTGAGAGAAGAGATGATGGGAGATGTGGAGGAGGAGACAAAAAGACGAGGGGTAAGGAAAGAAGCAAAAACATGAGATGAAGAGAGGAGAGGAAACCAGGTTGAGAGAGAGGAGACAAGGATACAAGAGGAAAGGGAACAGATGAAAGAATAAAAAAGGTCAGGGAGGTGGACGTGAGGAAAGAGAAGGTGCGGAGGAAAAAAAAGAAGAAGAAATTAAAATGAAAAGGAGAGATTGCAGCTGGCTCAGATGCAGGGGGGAAGAAAAGGGGAGGAGGAGAGGGGGTGCCCAGCCCGGCAACCCTCAGGGGTTATTGGGTCGTGGACAGCCAATCTCTCTCAGCTTAATCAACAGCAGCAGAGGTGATTGCAACACCGCAGGGGGACTGAAGAAAAAAAAAGATGGCGGGAAGGGGAGGAGGAGAGGTTGAGGTGGAGAGAACGAGATAGGAATGAATGGGGAGGTGTGTGTGGGGGGGGGAGATGAGAAAAAGATTGGAAAACTAGGGAAAACGGGGGTGAGGATGGCAAGACAGGGAGGAGGTTGGAGAGTGAGCAAGAGGAAGGGGACGACTGAAGATTGGAAAGGATAAGAGGGAGGAAGGGGAAAAGGAGGGTGTTTGGGGGGGGAGGAAAAAAATAGATGCAGGAGGATGGAGGGAGAGGGAAGAGGTGGGAAAATCATGGGATGAAAGGGGGGAGAAAACAGTTGAGGGTGTAGAGAACATAAATAGAGAGGAGAAACGGACAAGAGTGTTGTGGTAAAAACTCACTGGTGATAACTATTTATCTTGAGGACATGAATGTATTGTGTGAAGTCAAAACCACATATCTCAACCTCAGTGTGGCACCAGTGGAAAAGTCCATGGATCACTAAACTCAGAGGGCCTCGTGGTCTGGGAACATGAAGGTCTATACCAGCTTTTGTACCAATCCACCCATCCTTAAATGTGGATACATTTCACAGGATTCGTATTACAGTAGATTTGACCTGCTGGTGGTGCTAGAGTTTGGCAAAATTGTGTCCATGATTAAAACAAACCAGGGGAGGTTGATGGGTCCGTCTGTGGTCTTTCAGCCAAAAGACCGCAGTTCGTTCTTAATGTGAAACGAGAAACCTATGTTCATTTGTTTGTTGCGGAACTTGCGTACTTCAGTTACGGCACTTCCGTAGTTTTTTTCAACCCAAACGTCAATCTTCCCTAAACCTAAGTAATCACGATCTTTTTCCTAAACATAACTTAGTTGTTTCCTGTGAACACAGACGTTTATTTTGAAAAGACTGTATGCATGTGACGAGCAAAAATTGACACGTGTAGTAGAAAGCACGAAAAACCAGTAACTTTTCATGAGATATCGTACGAAAGGTTGTATGAGGATACTTTGCCAGACCTTAACTAAAAGGTCACTTATGTTGGCGGTGAATGTTAAAAACCGTGGTCAATCCATCCATCCACTTACGCTTGGGGTTTAGCAGGGGATTCCAGATGTCCCTCTCCCCAGCAACGTGTTCCAGCTCTTCTTGGGGAACCCTGAGGCGTCCCCAGCCCAAACCAGATATCCAATCTCACAAGTGAGTATTGGGTCTACCCCGGGCCCCTCCCGCAAAAAAAGAACAAAAAAAAGAAAGAACCGTCCTGGTCTACTCTGATCCCCCCCCAAAACATTACTCTCACGATCAACCATCCTAGATGACATTGCACATCTTGTATGTAGGGGCTTAACACAAAAAAACACACAAACACTTACACCAGTTTTTTGTTTTTTTATTGTATTTTATATTTGAGGAAGACTAGTCATTATGTGTAATCGCACTGCTAATACTACCTGTCTCAAATATACATATAAAAAAACCTTGTAACAGCGGAGACAAGATGATTTGTGTGGTCTGGAACACAATCAAAAAGACAAAAATAAATAATTCCAAATAACAAAAAAAGTATGCTCGAGCTGGAACAAATCTGTAGCGTCTTTATTATATGTACAACGCAAACTCTGCAAATTGCATTTGTAGCTACAGACACGGAGCACACAGATTCGTCAAAACAGACACAGAAGATAATTAAAAATAAATATGAAAACATGTTGGTGGAGAGAAAACCCGCCCGTCACAGACATTAGCATGTGTTCCTGCCCTGACCTGAACATTTTGCCATCCCTGCACAAATTGGACTATATAGTATAGTATAGTATAGTATAGTATATAGTTGTATTCAAGGGACAGTTGAGTTTTAGAGGAATTTTACCTTTGTCTCACAGACATGCAGTTTGACTGTATCGTATCACAGCGAGGTTAGCTTAGCTTAATGCCTGTGGGATCAGGTGGCAGCTCTAGACAAATGCTCCTTTAAACCGAGTTGCCACTTGAACACACAAACATCCAGTAATTGAGCTAAGCTTTGCTAATACCACCATTAGAATACCTTCAGTTATGCATACAGAGACATAAAACAAAGAACTCTGGGTAAAAGCATTCCTCGAAGACAAAACCATCCCCTTCAAACCTGTGGAAGAGCACTGAAAGCACAAGGTAACACTGTTTGTATTGAGTGAGAATATGAGTTGAAACATCAATGGCAACCACATCCAGAAGCACCAATGTACGCTGTCTGTACTGACTGGTAAGAAGGCTGATCCGAGTGCGACAAGCTCCTGCAAAAGCCAAACACAAGTTGGCAAGCTAGCTAGCTAACTAGCGAGTGTTATTTTTGCAGATGTATTTGCGCACATCCGGAGGAGAACTGGAGGAACGGGAATATATTCCGACCTGGGAGTGTTTGTGCATTATTCCAAAATGGCCACCCCCATTGTTAGCCTTGTACTCAATCCCGACGTATAAGTAGCCTATATCAGCTACGTTTTTAAATCAAGTTACTTATTTGTAGCATTTCCATCCCATGTGACACCAGATGTACAGTTTCTCGAATATTTGAATCAATCTACAGACCTGGAAATGTGTCCCACCTCAAAGTCCCTGGCTTTTTCGAACGTTTTTTTTTGTTAGATCCCGGAAGTAAGAGGCATGTGGTTCACATAAGCTTTAGAAGGGTGTTGGCTGACGTATTTTATATTGTAGAAAAAAACCTTTTACACTTCTTGTCAAATTTGAAGCCATTACGGTTGTTATCAAGTGGCTAAATGAGGCTACAGAAGTTGTCTGGGACATTGAACTGCGTTTTTACGTCGACTAGTTCAGAATGTGTAAGTATCGTAAACATTTGCCACTTATTTTCCGCAATAATCCCAAAAACCCGTGGATCCCACTGGGGGAACCGGGGCGATGCTTACTCCAGGTTAACCTACAAAAGAACGTCATCCCTGCAGGAATCTATATTGGATATTTTCTTTTATGCAACTACAAGCGACGAGCAGTTCAACGCGGACAGAGAGCCGTCGATGGCCAAGTTCACAGCAGGGATATGTCAATTCAGATTTCGGGGTGGATTCTTCCCGTCAGCATTTTGGTTAAGCACACGAAAATATAACCATAAAGTCCAGTATTTCTATGTAGCCAGTGTTAAAGGCACATCATCATGGCATAGGAGGACCAAAGCAGTAAAGGGGAAAAAGGGCCAGAGGTCAAGTTACTACCCACAAAAAGTGTACTCTTTATGAGGGAGTCTCATCCCGAAGGGGATCAAACTTGTTAGCTTCAAGACATTTAATGGAGCTGTAGCACCTGATGGCAGAACAAAATAAAAAAAAAATGTATTTAGTTAAACCTATGAACTAATACGATTAGTTTTTTCATATTAAGTTGCTGCACTTTGATCAGGGAAGTGTGAGTGGATGAAAAGAAGACTGTGTTGAAGGTCTAGGAAGACCCAAGTCAGAGTCAATCTACATTAAAACCAAACTCTTGTCCTACACTTATATCTGTGCTACTTCTCTACACGGAACACATACGGCATCTTGCTATTGAAGGACTATTACAGCGTCATTGTAGTTTTATGCTCTTCTATGCTCTTCCTGCAGGGACATTGTTTCCTGCTCTTATCACACCTACAAGGATATAATATTATCAGCATTAAATTGTCCTATCACTTTAAATTGTACAGCCTATACAGTACATATACAGCAGTTAACGGAACCAAAGGTTCCCCTTAACTGCTAAATATATCTAAAAATCAGACATCTATTTAGTTGAATCAAAGTCTTGGATCAGTGTTGAACAGTAGTATCTGCACACAATTAGCTCAGAGCCTCAAAATGGCTTTCAGTAACTGGGCTGCATATTTCAAGAGGTGATAAGCAAAATTTTCCCTTTTCAGTTTTTGATTTGTTACCAGAGGCAGATAGAAAGCAAAAACAATTAAAACAAACATTGAATTTGTATAGTAACTACATTTTCTCCTAGCTTGTAAACCATCCATCATAAACCACGTAGAAATCACACTACGTTCGGTTTTGTTCGCTCTGTAAAGCCCCGAGATAGAATAGATGCAGGATTAATGCAATAACTGATACTTATTCCTTAACTTAAAACTTAAAGACAATTCTCCTGATTCCCTAAAGTAGCCGTGCACTTCCCTCTAGATGGCGCTGTTTCCCTCTGTAAAGCTCATTGGTATCCACTTATCAGGCAGCAGCGTTTTGAATAGCACCATCCTCCTCCAATCACATTGCGAGGATTGCAGCAGGACGGGCGTAGGAGGGGGGTGGGGTGGGGGGGGGGGGGGGGATGGCGGGGGGGAGGGAAGGGGGGGGAAACAGCCATCCGACCGGATCCCTTGCGAGTGGTGTTGTCGTCGTTGTCGTAATGGCCGACCGTTATTTGTTTAGCACTAGCATGAATTGAAACAGGGTCTCTGATGGGGGTTTGCAGGGGCTAAGCGAATGGAATTTAACCAAGGGAACTGCAATAAGAAAACAAAAAGAATAAAAATTAAAGACAAAAACTAGTGCAAAGCACTTTCCCTGAAGCTTTGATGCAAGCGGTTTCTGCAGTGTCAGCACTTTTATCGGCAAAGATGTTTCGATAATGGTATCTGCAAATCCTTATTTGTGTTAATCTGTGTGTGTGTTGGGGGGGGTATTTTCAAATTGATAAGCATTTTGCGTATTATTGATCATATTTGCATCTTTCGACATCCATTGAAATGAATCATCAATCTCAATCCGTCCATTTTTTTTCTCTACAATGTCTATTCCTCTGATTATTAAAATATGATTTACTAAATGCTAACTTGTGTTTGAGTGACACATTTTCTGCCCTGTAATTATTTCCCCCATAAAGTAAAGTACTTGCTGTGGTTAAACGACACGACGAAAACAAACGTCACCATGTATTTGCAGAAACCATTTTGTCCTGTTTACGGTGTGTGTGTGTGTGTGTGTGTGTGTGTGTGTGTGAGTCATCCGTTTATCGGAGAAGGCCTCAAGTTTCTTCACAGGTAGCTTTGCTGCATGCAGGAAGGGCACCTGAGTGTGCGTGTTTGTTTCTATGAGAGCGGCTGGTTGGCGAAGAAAGCCTTGGTCTCTCCACAGGTGGGGTTGGTGCACAGCGGGCAGCGGAGGGTCAGCTGACGGGAACAGGGCTCGTTGGACTTCAGGTGGGACTGGACCAGGTCCGCAAGAGCCTGGACAGGACAAATGGCATACAGTTAGTATTGAGACAGAAATAATTAAGAGAGTTGCTCTCTTCTTTAGCTCTGTGAACACCGGGTTGTTTTGTCAGACAAACCGGTTTAAGATCGTAAGTTGAACCGGAGTGGCAAACCCGGAAATCAAACCAGCTCTAATAAGCGCATCCCTTTTTTTGTTTTTCTCATGCACACGCAAGAGGGTGATGTGACACACAGACTGTACGTTAGAAGTGGATAAAGTCACCGTGACGCTACCCATTGGTTTGTGGACTGCCGTTTTGAAGCCTCGAGTTCGGCATTTTGGCCGTCGCCATCTTGTTTTTTGCAACCAATGAACAGAAGTGACTATATTTGTACGGCGGAGTGACGTAGAGACATCATATACGGCTCTGGTAGCATCCTGTCAATCACAAGGTAGTCCCTCCCTAAAGCATACTCTGCTTTATGGTCTGTTTGACTCTAAATGGACCATAAATTACTAAATGAACATCATGCTGTATTGAAGAAGACTTGAAACGAGATTGAGACCATAAACTCATGTTTACAATGTTTACTGAGGTAATAAATCAAGAGAGAAGTAGAGTCATTTTCTCATTGACTTCTATACAACCAGAGGAGTCGCCCCCTGGTGGACACTAGAGAGAATACAGCTTGAAGGCATTTCAGCCTCTGCTTCACTTTTCAGAACCAGAGGTTGCCGCCTTGATACACATTCCCTCCAATGGTGTCACATTAATCCACTGATCTATAGGAGACGGTAACAAACCAAGATGCACAGTAATGGGCCAGCAAAAAGCAGGAAATAAGAAGACTAATTTACCCACTTTTGTTAGACCTCAAGGATACACATTATGTACTACGGTGATTTGCACTGAATATAACTTTAGTCTGTTTACAAGAAAACTGCACTTTAAAAGCCTTCCAGTGGCTCGAGGCGCACAATCCCTCGGTTTCCTAGCAGGCTTTTATTTTGAAATATTTGCAGGTGTTGAGATTAATTTACAGACATGTAACCGTGTTCAGAGAAACTGCTCGAGGTGATACAACTGGAAAGAAGTAGTGAATAAAAACAGTACTTGTGTTAAAAGTAATAGTCTGGCATTTTGGGAAATAGGCTTCTTTGCTTTCTTGCCTTAACGGTTAGCTTAGCTTAGCATTAAACTGGAAACGGGGAAAAAAATGTGTTAATCAGTGAGCTTTAAAATGTGCTGGTAGGCAGATGACCATTGGACAGATTCAGGCTAGCTGTTTCCCACTGTTTCCAGTCTCCACGCTAAGCTAAGCTAAGCTAAGCTAACCAGCTGCTGGCTGTAGCTTCATGTTTACCTGAAAACATGACAGTGGTATAAATCGTCTCATCTATCTCGACAACAAATTGAATATAAGTTTTTCCCATTTATGTTGAAGTATTCTATAACTAAGAGTGTAACATGACTTTTGTTGTTCTGATGGAATTACTACTACTGTGGATATTTGCATTATTCTGAATCAACTATGTGGGCTATTAGAGTGCAAACAATCCCCCACCTCATTGTTTTTTACCTGACCTTTATTAGATTCGACCTTCATTTGTTTGTGCCGGTCATGGCTATTATTCGATTCATATAATTATTATTCATATAATAAATGCCTGTACTTGAGGCTTTGGCTTTTGTAAACACGTGTTATCTTTGAGTCAAAAGAATAATCCGAGAGAATTCAAAGGGAAGAATGTCTAAATAAAAATACAGTTAGTAAGCTGATCGTACAAGATAGCAATCTGAGCGGGGGGGTTATCAGAAAATAAACTCTTGACACCAGCCGGGCTCTGCAGGTAAAAATTGTGGTGAATGTATTTTGCTTTATTTTCCAGCCGGCTGCTGCTTGCAGACGGCTGCAGACTGATGCTGCTCACTGAGAAACTAAAACCACACCAAGGAAACCATCCTTCAGTAACTACCAACTAATCATCCTCTGGATATTGATTTATACACTCTGTCTTACTCTCACTCTCTCACACACACACACACATATACACACACACACACACACACACACACACACACACAGAGAGACTTTCCGAGGGGTCTCTTAGCGCTGCGGGTTTGACCAGCCAGCCAGCCGGGCAGTTCAGTTCTACTGTAGTCAGCTCGAAAGGTTCCCATTGATCTGCCCCCTTCCTTTAATAAACTCTGCGCGCACGCACACACACACACACACACACACACACGCGTGCACACACACGCACACGCGCACACACACGCACACGCGCACACACCTGGAGGAGTTGCCTGTTGTGAGAACGGTTGCGGGGTTGAGGATGAAGGGAAGGAGGGAGGTTGGAAGGGAAAGGAGGGAAGGATGGATGTAAGAAAGGAGACGAGGGAGAGAGAGAGGAAAGGAAGTAAGGAAGGAGGAATCCATGTATTGACCATCTCCTGCGCTGGAGTTCACTTACTTCACAGAACCTTCTGCTGCCGTCTCCTTTTCTATTATTAGAGCCCTTCCTGCCTTCGTACAGTCTTCCCTCCTTTTTTATTTCTACTTTCTTCTACTTTCTTTTTTGTGTTTTAATCATCTTTCCCATTACCAAAACTTATTTGAACATTTCACATTCTGTATCTTCCCATCTCTCTCTAGCTGAAAGTCTGTTCTTGTTTGTTAAATACAGACATGCTCCTTCATGAACAAACTTAAACCTGCCGCTCCATTTTAAATCCCATTTAAATGAGTTGATAGTTAGCTACTTCATGCTTCGGTCCTTAATGTCTGTAGACATGATGAGTGAGCCGAGTGTGTGTGAAACGTACCCTCATAAAGAGAGGGTTCCCATTCAACGACTCCACTCTCCTGATGTTCTCCACCCCGCACTGAAGACAGAAAACAAAGACAGAACAAGTCGTTGGCACACATGTTTATAACCGAACCAAACATGCAAAGGCACCACAGTTCATATGAATTAAATCAAATGCGTTCGGTGTAACAAAGACCTCTATATACTGGAAAAAAAATAGTCGAGATAATGATTTTTTTAGCTTTTTTTTTTTTTTTTTTTTTTTTTTTTAAAAATCGGGAACTTCAAGAAACAAAATAATTGTCTTCTGAGTGTTCCAATTATTTTCAACAGCGAGTTTCATTTTGAGCAAAGCTCCTCTCAACTGTGGACATGTGTGGAAAAATGAGGACATGTTTGCAAAGTGAGTACACTTTGGACTGACTTTATATTTTAGATTACGGTTAAAAGCTTGGGAATGAATTTTAAATAATGTCACGGTTCTCACAAGTATAGTAGTACAAACGATTGTGTGTGTGTGCCTTTGTGGCACCGCTCACATTGATTGGTGGTCACCTCACTGGTGCCTTTACACACACACACACGCACACAGGAGACATTAGACACACACACACACACACACACACACTTTTGCAACATCTGGAGTTAAAGCATCATTAATTGATCCCAATACGAATGAACTAAAAACAAGAAAACAAAACAAGGACTGTTTCCAAAATGCTCGCTGCTGGTGCATTCACGGTCGCTCAGCTGAACAGCGTCGTCCAGCGTTGGCTCTTCCTTACCTCCTCCCCCAGCACCTGTCCGTACTCGATGTCCAGCTCGTGTAGAGTCTCTATGTGGTCGGAGGTGAAGGCGATGGGCACCAGCAGGATGTTCCTCTTCCCTCTCTCACACAGGCCTTTGATCACGTCGTCCGTCTGGGGGCCGAGCCACTGCATGGGCCCCACCTGAATGACCAAACACGAGACATGACAACCGTTCAGGTTCACTGTGGTGGAGATTTGCGGCTCCCGTTTTTGTGTCATCGTGATGCAACGGTTCGTCCATTTGTTTCTAACTGCTTTGATTCCAGACCTGGTCCTAGTCCCCAGAGGATGGTCCCTTTTGATCTTTTAATGAACGCATGACTTTGCGCATGACCTACCGCCACCTTGAGGACAAACTTTACAAATTTAACTCCACTACTGGGGAGGCTCTGAGAATAGCGGAATCATCAGCGGCGATGGGCCATTAGAAGGACTGAAGGATCTTAGGGTGCTTACACACCTCACCTTTTTGTTTATTTCCAAACGAACTCGGGTTCGTTTGTCCGGTTAGTTTGGGCTGGTGGAAAAAATGCAAATCAAACCCTGGCACGGTCCAAACAACCGAACCGAGATCGCTTGAAAACATTTCGTTTGTGGTGTGAAAGCAAAAACTAACCAACTACAGGATTTTATGATGCCAGCTATGAGATTTTAGCATGATTTCAAAAGCCAAACTACTATAATTGATCTGTGTAAGGCCATGTACATAACCTATTTATGCAAACACGTATGCATGTCAGCGTTGGTATTTCCCCTGATTGATGGGTCAAACAGCTGTTGAAACTGCTCTGCTTGTACACATCCAAAGCATTCGAGTGCTAACCTTCTGTAAGTCACTGGGATTTGATTTGCTCACATGAGTCCTGATGATGCAGGATGACTATCGGCACAACTGTCCAATAACCGCGGTTATACTGCGGCTGACCACCGTCATATGATGAAATTTACATCACGCAGACCTTCTCGCACTAACGATCGTGGAAAGTACACCTTTGGCTTTAGTCTCTACAACTGCATGTTTACTCCTCTTGCTTTATTTGTGAACTATCCTCCTTTTTTTTCTTGGTCCGGACCAAATGAACTCAACCACAGGTGTGAAAAGTCTTGTTAAATCAAGCTTGTGAGGTGTGACTTCACACAAGTCACACCTCAATTTAACATGACTGCCCCATAAAAGATTTCCACTGGAAGCGTCTCATTTTTCAACGAGCAAAATGTTCGCCTTAAAACATCTGGTTTATTTTCTGCTTAACGGGTAGCCAGCAACACATCCCAGTCCTCCTCACACAATAGAGACCTGATGACTAAGAGCTGTGAGGTTCCTGCTCTAACGGTTCACAGTATTAGATGGACCGGTGGCTCCATCTTGTGGCTTTCCAAGCAAAGAAACATCGTGTGACAGCAGCACTGAACTACACTCGAGTTCATCATCCTGACAAAGTTGTTGGTACATAATTATACATACTGTAAAGGTTTCTGCTCACCTGCAGTGATGTGCAGCATCAGAGTTTGTGAATTATTAATAAATATAAATACGTGGCTGCAAAATCCTTTCAACCCCTGCTGTCTGATACCTGCAGATTTACTTAAAAAGGTCAAATGTCCGGTGATGTTGGAGCCATGACACTATAAATGTCTTACTGGTTTCAGCTGGTGCTTAACTTTACTTTAGAGGCACAGGAGGCTATAATCAGTATTTCTATAATAACATTGTGATTGTGATCAAGTGAAAGGTGTGGCTTGTACTGACAAACCTACAGATAATTATCAGCAGATAATTATTAAGGTGAGTTTCAGCTCATTGTCTAGACGTCTGATTCGCTCTCATCGTGTCGTTATCAGCCGCAGCAGGCAGGTGAACAAACAAACATACTGTACACTACCTGTTTAGCAGAGACTAGCTGGTGGACATAATGCATATTATATCATTAGATATGTAAATCACCAACTGTTTGCCATCAACTTATAAGGTGATGATATGCCAACGTTGTGTTCATTACTTGTTTTTACTGCCTCCTGGTGGCCAAAAAAACATGTTACTGCAGCTTTAAATGCAGGGTTTTGTAAATACTGCGCACTCTCCGGTGTGGTACTGGGAAACAAAACCGATCAACATTTCAGTACCAGTCACAACTGGTGAGCGTTTTGTTGGTACCTAATTCATACAGTTAAATGACACTGTGGACAGCAGGCTGTATTATATAGTGTGGCCCAACAAGGTTAGGACAGATGCAGCACTACACACTGACTGTTCTAGTACTGCTGGTTGCCTTCGTCATGGTTCAGTTTCAGCGAACAACCCTTCGCCGCCCCTTCGCTCATGTCTGTAGGTGCTGTTTGTGTGAGTGTGTGTGAGTGTGTGTGTGCACTCACCCTGGACTGCCACACTAGTCTGTAAGGGTTACAGTGTCCCAGTCTCTCCATGACTCTCTGAACAGTGGCTCCCACTTCCTGAGGATACGGATCACCTCTGTTTACAACCTGCACAGGGAACACAGCAGTAGCACCGTCAGTGGGAGTCATAGACGGTGTATAAGGAGTGGACGTCACACATTGGTTTGTGGACTGACGTTTTGAAGCCTCGAGTTCGACGAAGTCATTAGTCGCTTCACTAGTCATGCAGGCTTGTGACAGGCAGGGTCTTAATATATTAGTACTAGTAGTGTCAGCACGAGTACTTCATTGTACTTACAGCCATTGGAAGGGAGTGTGCTGAGAAGAGAATGACAACATCGTCCCTCTTGTCTTCTGGAAACTTCAGCAGCTCGTTACGGACGTGATCTGCAAAACACTGCACACACACACACACACACATTGTATTAAAAGGTATTTTTTCTTATTTTCTGTTTTATTGACGTACTGAAACTCTAATAATTTTCCTCAACTGATTAAAGAAGAAGTTTCTGACTAATGACTGTTTCCCACCATGGAACATGCTGAAATCTAAAAATACAGACAGACTTCTTAGTTGCTCTGATGACCAAGCACGGCCACTTTCAGCTCATTAGTTGCTATGACGACTTCTCGTCCTCGTCAATTATCCGATATATCTTTTTCTTGGTTGTCTCTGAGAGGAGGAGGAGCCTGTAGGGCACTTTGGTGTGTGTGTGTGTGTGTGTGTGTGTGTCTAACCTCTACCAGCAGAGGGTGTGTGGGCCAACGGTCGATCACACTCCAGCGCATCTTTGGCCTGTCGCCTCTGTTGCTGTAGTAACGGTAGATGGCGTTCAGACTGCTGCCTGTTTCCACGACAAACAAACAAAACCCACCAATATTAGAAACGTGTTCCATTACGCAACAAGCAGTCTTCTCTTTGAGAGCGGGTTTGGGATTAAGTGCCTTGCTCGAAGGCACAAGAGTTGAAATGAATCCACACGGCGGAGCATCGTCTGAGTCAGCATTTCCTTTACGAACATTTAAAAAACAAAAAGATCAGAGAGAGAAGAGAAGCAGATATACTGTACATCGTCCGTCCTTTAGACATGTAGTTTCAATAGGATGTGTGATCCATAAGTGGTCCGAGGTTCTCCTCTGTCAAACACTTTGGCTTTCATGATTTATAAAAGTCCGTAATCAGAGCAGCAAGCCGCAATGCCGGAGTTGGGAAAAGTTGAGATCATTACAATAAGGTGCTGATGTGAGAAGAAATACACACTAGACTGAAATATTGTTCTAAACGGTACATAATTCATGCTAAATATGTGCAGCTTTTTGCAGGTAAAGATTGATGTACACAGCAAAACCATTCTACAATATGTATGTGTCCATTTTTCTGATGCTATTTTTGGTAAAGCGGGGGCCAATGAACACGAACGTCTGTCACTGTATGAGTGTTGCTGTTTACTCATTGGCCGCTGCACTTTCAAAATGGATGTTTTTTTTTGCCTTTACCCACTAAGTCATATCCACAACACTTAATATTGTTTGTGAAGAATCTCATTGTGTAATTGGTCATAAATATGGTGATATTTGGTTTTCTGTGTGCGACTGTCACCTGTGGTGGAGCAGCTGTACTGAGGATACTGTGTGAAGGCCACGGCTCGCTCCACTCCGTCCTTCTCCATCTCCTCGATGGCTTCCTCCGTCAGTGGCTGAACGTACCGGAAACCGATGTAGAACTTGTGAGGAGCTGGACAGAGAGACCGTCAGTCAACAACTTGCAACCAGGTGAAATACACTCATTACTGCATTAAAAACACAAACCTGGCACTTGCAAATGAACTGAAATAATCAAATAGATACAGTAAAGAAAGTAATAAAGGGAAGTATTTAGTCGTTACTAGTTGTGATCAGTTTGGGTCGTTATCAGTGAGGTGTGTGCAGGCGTGTGTGGTGACACACCCTCACTTTGTCCCTATCTACACTTCACACCCTTTCGGCTTCTAACAAGCGAGTCCACCAGCAGCAAACACAAGAGCTCTGTTCTGTTGTCTATTTTGAACCATGATGGTATAGCCTCCCCTGACGATTAGCACCTACTCTACACCTGGACTTCCTAAAGCCTACGACAGTGAGGAGTGAGAGCTCCGACAGGCAGCGGCGTAGAGGAGATCTGCGACTGTCTCACCCGTCTCAGGACTCATCTCGTCCAGCAGCTTCACCATGCCCTCCCCCTGCATGGAGGTCCAGTGTTTGATGGGCGAGCCTCCTCCGATCTTGCTGTACTGCTCCTGGATCTTCGGCGTGCGGCGCTTGGCGATGAACGGGCCGAGCTTACTGCACAGCAAAGGACAGATTGTTGACGACAACACTCGTAGACTATATGACAGTACATTACTGCCTCAATAGATGTGCAATGCACATGAGCTCAAGCAGCCAGTTGCTCTTTGTGTACGGTGAAATAATTCATGTGAAATTAACAGTATGTGTATTTTCCTCTCAGTCTATGAAGCTAATGTTAGCTCAAGCAGCTAACAGTATAGAACTGCCTCAATAGATGTTATTACAGTAGATTAATATACTAATAAACTAAATTAAACACACCATATACCGGGGAAGTATTGGACAAAATCACATGTTTAACTGACGATGGCGTTTCGATGAAAGGTCAGAGGATCAAATTGAAATTTATCCCGAGGGGGGCATGAATGTCTGAAACAAATTTCACATTTTAGCAAGACAACAACATCTTTGTACTGTTGGTTTACAACCACAGAGGGGAATTACATGCCCAGAGATCTGATCCCTCTAACATCAGCATACAACTAAAAGTTTCAGTTTAGAGTCATATAGAAAAACCAGATGTGCTCATCAAACCATTATTGTTTTGAGTCAGTCAAGGGGCATCATGTGACCGAAGGCTGTCCAGAGTCACACCGACTCACACGATGATTAAACGGTATAAATAAATGTTTTTTTAAAAACACAAACGTTTCTTTTTTTGCCAATAACTGCTCACAAGAAAATATTGCTTCTTTTTAAAAAAAGGAGCCACAAAGCCCAGAAAGGTTGTAAACGAGTTCTTTATAAGGACCAGTGTTCATAAGACGGGTTTTCTTCTCAGCAGGAACAAGAAACACGTCGTTAGTTCACTGGTCAGTTACTATGAAACAAACGAGCAGAGAGGCAGCAGAGCATGTGACCTAACAACCTTCCCCCATTTGTTCTCTCTAGTGTGTGTATGTGTGTGTGTGTCAACTTTAAAAAAGAACATGTAATATGTGACACCCTTAACGAGTGTCACAACTACATTTTCAGCAAAAAACACATTGTTGAGCTGCTCATAGTGTGTGTGTGTGTGTGTGTGTGTGTGTGTGTGTGTGTGTGTGTGTGTGTGCACCCTATGATTTATAGAGGCCATCAGCTGTGCTTTCCAGACTGCATTTGCAATGTAATTTTTAGATGTAAAAACAGCCAGTGCAGGTCCCTGGCCAGGTTTTGTATCCTCAAACACACACACACTCACACTCACACTAAATGAATGTTACACTTATTAACTACCTGCTGATAACTATGATGTTGTTTGCAGGTGTTGATGTCTGGCCCTCAGTTTAATGGTCCAGAGAAAGATATCAACTATGGTCAAATAACTTTTAGTCAGATAAAGACAATATTCTAACTGTGTGTGTGTGTGTGTGTGTGTGTGTGTGTGTGTGTGTCCACGGTGCTTACCTCTGTATGGGGAGTTTCATCAGGTCTGTGTCCGAGAACAACCGCAGCAGGAAGTCGTGCACGTCTTCCAGTTTCTCAGGTCCTCCCATGTTCAGCATCAAGATGCCCGTCTTAGGTTTCCTGCAGGCACCAGGGATTCCTAATCAATAATTCATATTCAACAATACCTCGACTTCCCTAAAAGAAACTGTATCTCATTGATTAGAAATGATGTTTAATCAATGAGTCTTTCAACATCTATATCTCACAATATATAGATTTTTCTTATCTTCTACTTTATCTGTCTCTGTGCACAGATTATTGTAAACTATTGTTCTCTGAAGCTGCATCGATGCTACTAAAGTGTGTATTTATGTACGTCTGCGTCCACTCAGTAGAAAACTCCACAGAGTGTGTCGTTTGCGTCACCTGTTGTCCTGCGTTTCTGGAGTCGAGGTCTGGGCTAAAGCTGCTGCAGTGGAGCGCCTCCTTACAGCCAGACTGACGCCGCTCCTGGCAACTAAAGCAGAAGAAGGAAACGTGTTCTCCACACACACACACACACACACACACACACACACACACACACACACACAAGTAAATATTACTGGGCATGCACACAAACATTTCCTGCCTCCGAAAGTTTTACTCCCTGAAATATTCAGACTAGACCAAACCGATTCTTAGTTTACAATACGGTGAAGAAAATAAAAGCAATTAATGATTTCAATGAATGATTCCTTTTATGCTTTTATTAATGCTCCATACCTGCTTTGGTAAAAGCAAATCTGATTTTGTTTCACCTCTTGACTTTCCCCTTACTTAACAATGAGACAGCAAAATGCTGTTTTACCCTCCATTATTCAACGTTTATTCGTTATCCAAGGGGCTCCAGGAGCTTTATCCAGGTGTGAACAGCTACTTCATTACAACTTACGTGACAATATAGTACACTAACAGCACACTCAAAGGTCTTTTACCATGCACACTGACTGGTTTGAATATACTATATTTTTATTTTATTGTAATTTTTCTAGTGTCAACACACTGCATCCTCAAGCCTTTCTTATAATTAGTGGTAAGTCTGCTTTTGTCACACATCATTGGTAATGATACCTTGCACCATTTCATCAAATTAAAATATTCTAGGGGTCACGTGATTCACTTTATACCAAAATTCAGCCGGGTGCATTTGCTATTTGGAAAGTCGGTGATCTTCTCCAGAAATGATATCCGGTAAACATGACTTTGGATTGACAGGTGCTACAAAAGTAAAGTAAAAGTAATGTGTTACTTATTCTACAACGTCCTCTTACATAGTGTCACACTAAGTGCCCTTAACGTTACTAATTAGCACCATACCAGTTTGTGAAAAGAAAAAGACGTTGTACTACAAGCTGCACAGGACACCAAAACCCATATGTACTGATTTATGTAAACACGGTGTGATAGCTGTAGTGACTTCTACTCTAACGCCGTCTTTACTTTCATAACCTGAGCTGCAGTACCCCGAAACGCCGCCAGGAGGCCCACTGTGATTATACAAGTTCACAATGCTGGAATTGTGTAACTTCGTTCAAATGTTTAGTTCCTCCTCACTCACCGTGAAAAACACGGACCGTCAATGACTACGGGCACTGTTTACGGATCATGCTCTTATACTAAACGTAGCACAAGTACGGGATAAGTCCATTATGTAACATTAACATTAAACTGTAAACTGTAACCTACAGTAATGTTGGGCTTAGCGACTGTCTAGCTACGGAAACGCCGCTATTTGTCTGGAAAATAAAAGCACATGAATGGTTCAGCTTTCAGCAAATATTAGGATTTCGACCTGACCAAACGACAAACATGGAAAAGGAATACAATACGTGACTCATTAGAGTAAGAATAAATGGACGTGGACGATATAAGAGCAAACAATACAAATAATTTCACATTAATATTACAGCAAAGATGGTATTGTGAAACTCCTGACAGGAAGTTGGACTTCCACCATCCTTGCTAGCTTAACGCCCCATTACGAAATGTTGACGGCAATGTCAGCGTGTTGTTGAGTTTACACGCCGTTGGACCGAGCAACGAAGCTCCATCACTCAAAACTGCCTTCAAACTGCCTCAAAGAAGCGGAGGAGCACAGTTTACTCCGTGACATTAAATTCTGAGCTCAATCATGAAACTTGATTGAGCTCGTTGCGCAGCGTTGGCCAGGCTAAGATATAACGTTAGCTCATAGTCACACTCACATTGGATCAAGCGACCGGCGCTGCCCAGGACTGCCATCATGGTCATTTCCTGTTTTCACCGCCGATAAAGTCTCCGTTCCCGCTGTGATGAAGGCTGGATACCGCTCTCAGCGGACGACTCCACGACTGTTTCCCTTCACTGAGTGACTCGCTGGCCACGCCGATGTGTATGTCAGCCAGATTCCTTCAGCTACCGCAGGCTGGCCGTACAGACTCTGTCAAGCTCCAGGCTATGGCTACAACACTTCCGGTTTTTAAATTCAAAATAAAACCACTGACGACGAACCTGGGATGATGCAACATTTTAGAGACTTTGATTGGTGGTATAGTTCCAGCGAGTCATCACTTATTCTATGAATATTTTATTCACTTACTCATTTCTAATTTGTAATTGCCATTGTCATCTAATTACTGTATTAAATAGGCTAGTGTTGTTTTTTACGTGTTCTCTGTTGTCCAGTGGCGGGCCGTGCATTTTCTACCTGGGCCTTCTGTGCCGTCTTACTACAGTTGAACCACCACAGCTACGGGCTATTGTTTGTTTCGTGTAAACACCTCATATTCACATAACACTGCAACATTTGACAAGTGAAATAAAATGTTACATGAAGCTCAACAACTACAAATACGCTAACTGCAGAGTGCAGATACATGAATACGCGCATGACGGGATGCTTCGTCATTAACGGACAATGCATATAGTAAAATCAATGTAATTAACACGACAAGAACAAACTCACAAGAACCAGTCACATTTATTTACAACAAAGCATGACAAAACAATCCAGCAACACTGCGGCACTAAAACACCGCACACTCAAGAGCACGGGCCATTGAAATATTATTCACATCAGAGGGAATGATATTAACTATATAATAAAAACAACAAGACAGACAAATTAACACAACGCTACTGCAGATGTAAAAACACAAAAGCAGTTCACTTACCAAATGCTGTTCACTATTTACAGACAAAGTCCATCCTCCTGTCTTTGTTTACAAACAGTTCAATGACGCGGTTGTACAGTACATCATGCGTCTCAGTTCCAGTAGTTGTGTTTCTGGAATATGTTTTGATGCAAGGCAAGGCAAGTTTATTTGTATAGCACATTTCAACAACAAGGTAATTCAAAGTGCTTCACATAAACCATTAAAAGCATCAAAACATAAGGCAAAAGAAAAGGAGATTTAAAAACAATTAAGAACATTCACTGAAACAATAACAGTCATTAAAACATTAAAAAGCAGTGTAAGAAATAAAATACAGTAGTAAAATGCAGGAAATTGATAAATATATTAATTGAATGTGGTTCAATTGAAGGCAGCAAACAGAAAAGTCTTCAATCTTGATTTCAAGGAGCTGAGGGTCTCAGCAGACCTGCAGCTTTCTGGGACTTTGTTCCAGATATGTGGAGCAGAAGAACTGAATGCTGCTTCTCCATGTTTAGTTCTGACTCTGGGAACAGAAAGTAGACCGGTCCCAGACGACCTAAGGGGTCGGGATGGTTCATAAGAGATGTATTTTGGCCCTAAACCATTCAGTGCTTTATAAACCAACAGCAGGATTTTAAAGTCAATTCTTTGTTGGACAGGAAGCCAGTGCAAAGACCTCAGAACTGGAGTGATGTGATCCACCCTCCTGGTCTTAGGTGAGGACTCGAGCTGCAGCGTTCTGAATCAGCTGCAGCTTTCTGACTTTTTACAGAGACCTGTAAACACACCGTTACAGTAGTCCAGTCTGCTGAAGATAAATGCAAGTTTTTCCAAATCCTGTTGAGACATAAGTCCTCTAATCCTTGATATATTCTTCAGCTGATTGTAGGCTGATGTGGTTGAGGGCTGAAAATGAGAAAATAAGCATTTAATAAGTAGAATTAACATCTAATACAAAAATATTTAAAAGAAAATCTATTCTAAAAGTTGCGGGACTGAAAGTAAATTCAAAGCCATGGCTTGTATGAATAATTGTATGCTTTTATTGTGGAGACCACTTTGCTACATTTCCGGTGTAGTGTGGTTTACTTGACGCAGGGCCGCTATTTTAGTATTGCGTCACAACTACGTTTGTCGACATTGTAATATAACCACGCCCCCGCTCGTGGCGGTCACACCCCCTACAGAGACGTGTGTGCGTGTCCTGAGATAGTTTATCAGCTATAAACACCGTGGTGGTAACAGTCACTGTTTAACCCGCTTTCTGGTTCCAAGGAAGGAATTCAAACAGCTTTATGAGAAGACTTGTATGCTCAGTTTAAGGTGAAGTGTTTTAAAAACTACTCGGGTTCTTATGAAATGAGACCAGTTTTTCTCGATCTGAGGTCTGAGGTTCCCCCTTCCCTTTCAAAACCGCTTCGACGGGAGGAAGCAGGGATCCGAAGAGGAACCAGGAAGTGGATTTAAAGAACACACAAAGCAAGAAAACACACACCTGCTGCTAAAGAAGGGAGCTCTCTTACACAAGCTCATCTTTGTCTCTATTTGTGTCTGTTATTAAAGGCAAATGCTAATAATGTTAACATGATTTAGGAAATGATTTATCAAAACACTTTTTTTTCTCAAGTAACTCAATAGGAACTTTTTATTCCTTTGTCCTTTATTGGCCAACTGAAACATTTTTAATATGATAGTTTATATTTGAAGCACATCACACAACGCTGTTCCTCTCACTTCCTTAAGGTTTTAATAATTATACTTCTACCGATGTAAATGAACTGTTTACTTTGTTAATGCTACATCATTACAAAAATAAGTTTGTAAGGTGATGTGTTTTTACAGTGAATTTATGTTCAGTTTACTTCAGGCACTTTCGTGGCACTTGTGTTAATGCTTGTATTTTTATACAGGCCTCAATTTCTTTTTCATGTGTTTAACCGTTTGTAAAGTACTCTGAACGACTTTAAAAGGTCAGAGAGTTAGTACAGTTCAAAGACAAGTAGCAGTGTGAGAAAGTCCTCAAACACAGATGTCATATCAGATTAGCAAGATTTTTGACCAAAAGAAAAAAAAAAAATCCCATTAACGATATTACGTTAACTACATAAAAAAAAATTCCTGTAATGCGTTTTTAGATATTTCTCTTCTTTATGTCATTTGTAAAGTGTTTTTGAGCTTCTTGAAAAGTCCTTTCTAAATAAAATGCATAGTCATCAGAAAAATACAAATGTAGAAAATAAAAACAGAAGTAAAATTCATCTTTAGCTTTGCTTATTGTGCATTTTGCCTCTTTTTTGGCATATTAATTACACTCAAAATCCATATGTAGCAAGATGAGTCTGTAACCATAACTGTAGACATAAAGAGATTTCAGAGGGGCTGGATTATTTATACAATATTATCACATGTTCATTATTAAGATGATACCAATATTTCATTATCAAAATATCAGTTATCAGTATCGGTAACACACCCAACCTAAAGGAAACCCTCACACAGCCATCTGTTTGAGTCACATTTATTGAGTTCAATGGATCTTCCGATGGAAACACGACACGGAAACACAAACATGACGAGTCCCCGACGTCACATCTCTGAACCACAGCGATCATTTCACTGACTACTAATTAAATAAGTTGAAAAGAAAAAGTGGAAAAGCTATAACTGAGCGATTTCTTTCCCCTCAGGTGAAGAATCACAGGAAACTATATCTAAAAGCAGCCCACGAGCACAGCTAAGGCAGAACCATCGGATTCAGGTTTGGAGTCACAACGAACAAGAAAGAAGCTGTAAAGTGTGAGGCGGCGCACAGCAGGAGGCATCTAACCGTCCGTGGCGAGACGTCATGATCTGAACTCTTCACCACCGAGTGTTGACACAGAAACCAGCCAAAAGGGACGGAACATAGAAGTCCTTTTGATTTGATTTGATTTAATATTCTAGCGACACATTTTATGGCTGACAGGGTGCTGCCACATGCCAGGGTCCAGGTATACCAACAGAGTGTGTGTGTGTGTGTGTGTGTGTGTGTGTGTGTGTGTGTGCTCAGGGTCGGCAGCGCTGGATGAAGCGTGGGTACAGGCAGACGTCTCTGATGTGATGTCTGTTCAGCAGCCAGGTGAGGAAACGCTCCAGGCCCAGACCGTAACCACCGTGAGGACACGTGCCGTACTTCCTCTGAAACACACACACACACACACACACACACAGCAGCCTGTTAACACACACTTCTGCTGACATGCGTAGGCCTTGTCCACATCCCGCTGCTCCTCGGATTCAAACATCCTCCACATCATTTTTTGCAAACAAGCCTCACGGTTTCCTCTCCCCGGCTGGGATCGTGGTAACCACTGCTCTGTGAATCACACTGTATTCTCTCTTAAAACATATTGACTCGTCACTACCGTCTCATGCACAGACTCACAGCAGTGGAGGAAGTGCTTTTAAGACCCAGTGAAATGAAAAATACATTTCCCCAATTTGAATCATTTGTCCCTGTATTCATTCTTCATTAGTATTTATCATTCTTCATTAGTATTTAAATATATGTCAAATAAAAGCAGTATCAGAGTATATGTTGCACCGAATCTGTCTTTTCTCTTCTGGTTTCAAATGTTTGAGGACTCATGCAGCACTTGAAAAAATCATCCAATCACATGAGACTTTGGTCGGCGAGCCGGCCACACGGGTCAGTTTGTGGGTCGGAGCAGCTTAAAGAGCAATCTGGAGAGAGACAGGAGGACGTGTATTTGATATCAGTGTGTGTGTGTATGTGATCTTCTGTAGCTCTGTTTCACTCTAAACCCGCCCACTTATTAGCGGCCCAATCAAAAGCGAAGGATTTGATTGAAATTCCTCTTGTAACTGTACATCACTCAAAAATTCAGTTTCACTGTGAGAGCACAGAAGCTAAAGACGCTGTAACTCCCGCCTCCCTGGGACTTTGGATAGTAAGGTGTTAGTGAAGATGCATTGCTTTGTGAAGTAGTGAGCATACGACTAGATAAATGAGACTTGGATTGAACTGCACCAGTTGTGAGAGTTTGTAAATTGACGTTTTGATAAAGCTTTGCCGTCGTGAAACTCGGCCCCAGTTTACTTTGATTCAGGCTTTTTTTTTTTTTTTTTTTTTAAAAGAAGTTTTCTTCAAGAGTTCAAGGTAGTTTGAGCTCTTGTACAGAAGTTCTATTCCTTTCCCGGGCCGAGATGTGACGCAGTGAGTTTTGTGTTACCTGGTCGGTGTACCAGTAGTACGGGGTCGGGTCGATCCCCTCCCTCTTGTATCCCTCCAGCAGCTCCTCAGCATCCCAGATACGCATCGATCCTCCGACGATCTCGCCCACATTTGGCATCAACACGTCGACCTGCGGCACACAGACACACACACAAGATCAGACAGCTAATCGGTTATAAAGTAACTTCAGGGCTTCCTGCACCCCAAAACTGTGTCTTTAGGTGGAGAGCTCTCATCTTGGCTCCACAAGACATCGATATCTCTCTTATTAGGCCACAGCAGGAGGGAGCCACGCAGCACCCTGATACACCTCCAGGTTTCACAGCCAGAGTTTGACCCCTGAGGTTCGTACCGACTCGGTGAGGCGTCTGTCCTCGGGGCAGCGCTGCATGTAGAAGGACTTGATCTCGGCCGGGAAGCGGCAGAGCAGGATGGTCTCGTTGAAGGAGTCAGTCATCATCCTCTCTGGAGCCTCGGGGATGTCCTGAGAGTGGGAAGATTACAATTTTTTTTTATTTTATTTTTTTAAAAACCCACAGAATTTATCAAACAATTTCCCTAACAAAAGTTATTTAAGAAACTTTTGGTAACCTTGTTATTTCAACAAAAAAAAAAAAAAAAAAACTCCACAACGAGGACAAATCTGTTTTCAATGCCGTCTAAAAATGTCAAAATAGCTTTTAAAATGAAATGAATACAATTTAACGTGGTTTTTCAAAGTAATACGACTGTAGACAGAATACTGAAGGTGGTGACTGAAACATCTTGAATACAGATCAAAGCAGTCACATGTTTCTGACGTAAAGTCATGCCCTCTACAGGCGAGTCTGAAAACTGCAGGTGATCTGATGACCAATCAACTACACGCTCCAACTACCTGCTAAACAACTAAAGGATTACAATAATGACATTAAAGGGGCACTCCATCAATTCTACACGTCAAGTTCAGTTTGTCGTCATGAAGAGCACCACCCAGGCCCGTCAGCACCGTTGTAGAATGACTTCTGCGGCTCTGGAGGAGCTTTGTCAAGCGCTGGAGACAACACATCTGGAACAAACTGGACGAGTGGAGTTTGAAAGATGTAGGAGTTCAGCACGCAGGCAGGGTCTAATTAAAAGATGCGTTTGAGTTGCATCGAGTTTGCCAACGTTTAATTGTTTTTCTTAAATCCTATTTTATTATTATTTTTAAACTTTCATTGATGTAAGGATTTGTTTAACTTCTATTATTTGATCAGTTGTCTGTTGCAGACCCTGGATAACTACACGGGATAGTAAAACCAACACCATACTCTTACAAGACGACTGCTGGCGTGAAATCAAGGTGAATTCTGGGCTAATGAGTCCCAATGAGAGCTCTACGCACAAGAACTCATTCGTAGAACGATGTGTGCGTTAGATACTCTGACGTGTGTGTGTCGTGTTCAGTCGCCACCTCTCCAAACTCGTAGTAGGAGCCGTCGTCCTTCTTGACGTCGTGCTCTCGGAGCCACTCGATGGCTTCGGTGTAGTTCATCCGCTTGAACGGCCTCTTGGGGGGTTTGAAGTTCTGTGGGGGGGTAAAAATACACCATCAAAGAAAATATTAACACTACAATGACATTACAGACATCAACTCCATGTTCTTATGAAGGGCGTGTGATCAAAAGCTAAACAGATCATGTAATGGATGAACTTCCTCCATCATCCATGCGTTTCATCACTACGTAACTATTAATTAGGATGAAAACTGTGATGCAGCGTCTTGAACGCGCCCCCACACATACAAAATAAATAACATGACGTACGGGGTTGATGTCGTAGAGCAGCTGCGCGGCGGGGGATTTGAGCACTCGGTCCACCACGTCACACACCAGATCCTCCAGTCTGTTCAGCAGATCCTCAAACGACATGAAGGGACACTCGGCCTCGATGTGAGTGTACCTGAAAACAGACGGAACATCAACCAATCAACATGCAGGAGGCCGACGGGCTCCGATTCAGGAGATGACACAAGGTGTTGTGTGGCTCTGGTGTGATTAACATTACTCATTTACGTATCGGGGTTTTTTATGCATATATACTGTGCTGTCCTTTGTTCGAAGATAAAGGAAAATTGTCCACCTTTTATGTGGACGTCCGATCGGTGTTGATGGTAAATGAGGTCGATTGAAGCAATAAACTCCTCAGTGCAAAATCTGTTCTTCCTGCATCCGGACATGACAGTGATGTAGCTAGGAAGAACTGCTGAACATCCTTTTTCCTCTTCACTTGTATTTCAAACCAGCTAGGTTTCCAACATCCCAAAATATGAGTGCAGAGCAGGGGGATACATGTTCAACAGTGTTTGGGCTCACTGGGATATTCAGCTGTATTTATTGGAGCGGGCTGAAGAAACACAGCGGGACAGATGAGAGGATACGGCCGGCGGGGGGGCCCTTGGCATCAGAAGCTCGATCGCAATGCATCCTGGTACATGCACTGCTGGCACGGCAGGAAAACTTTCTGGGTCAACATAGCACGCACTGAGGAATGTATTGCTTTATTGAACTACATTTACCCTCAACACTGATTCACAGAAAAAAAGGTGGTGAATCTTCCCTTTAAGCTACAGTTGCAGCGCTGATTAACGCCCCCCCCCCCCCAACCACTGTTGTAGAGAAAATGCCACATCACACAGTGCTGCTATCTATAACACCTTATAATTAGAGGGCTCTCGGCTTACACACAGCTATGCCCAGGTAAACCCACTACTGCAATGTTGTTGAACACCCAAACGAGCCGCTGCTTTACAACATCACCTCTGCCTGCTAATCATTTCGTCTAGTATGCAAGTTCAAACCTGCCACGCCCTCTAAACATGTTTAGTGGTCACACCAATTCAACCAGATCAGCTGAGCTGATTGACAACGTGTCTCTGTGTCTGATCTCAACCCTCTAAAGTCTTTGTAGTGATGAAAGCGTACTGTTAATTAATTGTGTGGCTTCAGGGCAAATATTTGAAATTATTGACAGCCTTAAGTATGTATCCAATCCCTGTTCCCCTTGTTGTGTACTTCCTACATGGAGGCGACCCGAGTGTACTTTGTGAACGTGTTGGATGGTTTGCTCACTCGGCCAGGTGTCTGCGGGTGCGCGACTGCTCGGCCCGGTACGACTGGGCGATGCAGAAGGTGTCGCCCAGGGCGGGGATGCAGGTCTCCAGGTAGAGCTGAGAGGACTGCGTCAGGTACGCCTCCTCGCCAAAGTAGTTGAAGTTAAACAGCGTGGAGCCGCCCTCCACCTGCGTCTGCACCATGGTGGGAGGAGTGATCTACAGCCAGGAGGAATACAACAAAGAAAGAAAAAACAGAAAGAAACAGATATGGTGGTTAAAATAGGAGATAAAGCTGCACACCATGAGCGCTGTTGGTTTATTAAAGTGAAGCTCAACACTTTGACTTTGAGAAACCCGACACCTTATTTTTTCCCAATTTGAGCGCTGGCTACAGCTGATATAATCTGCCGTCATTTAAACAACAGTCTGACTGGATACAATCCTGGTTTCATTCAATGCTCTTCGCTAAGAAACTAAAAAGCAAAAGCCTGGGCGAGACAAAAGATTTCCCCGTGTTGCTGGCGTGCATCACCTCGCAGTATCCGCGGCTGAAGAAGTGCTCCCTGAAGCACTGCGTGACGGTGGATCGGACCCGGAGGACCTTGGAGACGTTCTCTCCTCTGATCAGCATGTGTCGGTTGTTCAGCTGGACGTCCACGTCCGACTCCTCGTTCAGCAGGTTGTCGGCGCCGCCCGCCGGAGCTAAGCCGATCAGCTCCCAGAAGTCACAGTGCAGCTCGTGGCCTCCCGGTGCCTGGAAGAGGAAGACAGGAACTCACTGAGCACCCTTGTCATGTTTTTATACTGCATGCATGTCTCTCAGTCTCTCTCTCTCACACACACAGGTTGTCTGATTTCCTGCACAACCTTATTTCTTCTGAGCTTCTGGTGTGCATGCACGCATACTGCAGGTTCCGTCTGTTACGCAGCGGGTGTGTTTACCTGCTTGCCTTCAGGAACTGGAGTTACGGTCCCGTATAGAGCGACGGTGCTCTCTGTGGACAACACCAAGCCGTTGTAGCACTGGCACTGGAGGCGAGAGCGAGGAGACAAGTGTTAGTCAGAGGGAAGAGTACAGTACGACCCGTCAACTGGTAGCATGAACAATGTGTCTTGAACTTCTGCGACATTGATTACTTGAGTTTGAAGCGCTAATCTGGCGATCAAATCAAGTGCTCCCTGCTCACAGGTAATCTGCCCGATGAATGGTGCGTTTGTTTTGAGCATATTCTGATAAAAAGGCGCTATATTTTGATATAAACATGTGCAGGAGGTTTTGAAGTTTTCAGAATTATATAAGTGTTTCTCAATCACTAAAACTGAACCACCTAATACTTTATGTATTTACAAAATCTATCTTGTATGTATCATTATATCCAAATTAATTTCATCTCCTGTCAGTTTTGTTAGTTGAATTTCATCCTGCATTTCAAGTTCATTTAATTTCAGATTAAAATCACTTGTTACGGTTGTCTAATTGTACATTTAAACAACTGCTTCTCCCCACACACACACACACACACACACACACACACACACACACACACACACAC